GGGCTGTGTGTGTTGCTTAATGACCTTCCACACTTTTGTGACGCCATGCAATTGGCTGCTCTCACCAGTCTGGCGGCCAATTACCTGTCTGGTAAACAATGAGATTGGGGCCATTCTCTCTCCCAAAGCCAGGATTGAGCTCAAGCTGCCCTGTCCTTGAGAATGCAAGGAGCATAAAGAAGGACTTCGCATTGTGCTATGTTATTTAATTTGGTAAGATAAGCAATCGACAACGGTGCTCGTTTGGCAAAGTGTCTGTCTTGTTATCATCTGATGCAGTCGTTCAAATGAGGGGATAGCTAGCCATTGTAGCGATTCCACACATGTTTCCCTTGTCTCTGGCCATCCAAATGTATCCCCTTTGTCCCCATTGCTCACCCCAACTATTCTTCACTATCCAATACTTCTGTCGAGTCTTGTCAGCATCGTAACCAACCACCAGCACGCCGTGATCCAGGTCATTCTCCGAGCAGGTGTTGTCCTGGTAGATGCCTTTCCTGTAAGAGAGAGGAAGCATTAAGTTAATCGTGCTAGCAGATAAATGAAGAATTTGCAGTTGTTGACTTACTCATAGAACATGAAACCCAACGAGCTGGCGTCGATGGCGACAGAAACAGGGCCAACTTTGGCGAGGCTGAGTTTCAATTGGTCCTCACTCTTCTCCGGCACTTTGACGAATTTTGACACCTTGGTAACCACCTTGGAGCGATCGAACTTGCACTTTCCATCCTACCACAACGTTGGAGAGGATGGCATTACTCTAACTGATAAATAAGTGAAGAAGTATGGTCGAGTAGTGGTATTGGTAGACTCACTTTGTTTAACGTGAATCACTCAGCACACATGACTGGTTTGTGGGTAAGCAGATGACAATCAGGCAGACCACTGCTCGGAATCTATTACGGCATCACGACTTTGTAAACAATGCAATGCAGAAGGTTTGACTTGTGTCTAACACCACATTTTGCACAAGCGATGTTTACGGTCAGTCATTGTCGAGGCATTGAGGTGTGCCACACCAACAGAACACCAGGTACAGCCTAAAGCTCTGTAGTGGCGTTCAGGTCATCACAAATGCCTCCAACTGTCAAATGGAGAGGTGGTGGAACACTCTAGTGCGGATTTCACTTCTCTTCAACCCGATAGTGGCATAGTACTCGATTCTTATTGATAACCATTGGGAGGTATGCCATTACAGCAACCAACTCTCCGGTCTCACGATTATGCCTGATAGGCAAATAGGCGAAAATGACTGGGCAAACGCAAAATGTGGAGGATATTTGAACCTGATGATTTCACCAAATTTAAGGTTTAGCAATCACTCCCAAAATTGTACATTTAAAAGCGCTGTGACAAAGTGATTGGCAAGTTCAGTGGCCAAGCAGTGTGTTCGAAGACTGAAATTGACAGATTGACTGACAGTCTTCTCCAATTAACGCATCGTTATCTGGCTCTTCCCTGCATTCTCTCTAAATACATTGAAACTTGAGAACTATTTCTAACCCTTTAGCACCACGAGCTGAAGTTGGTAATTTCAAAAACGACTGCTTTAGGCAGGTGGTAGAAATGACGCTTGACCTAACCCGTTGGCTACCAGTGTGACATGATTGTGACGTCCGAATCCCCCTACCTGAGTCTGCACGACACATGTATGTGACACATGTTCTTTGCCAGTGTGGAATAGCTACTAGGTGTCCAATCTGAGTGGTGGAGCTAAAGCAATAATGTAGGATCGAGGGGTACTAGTGGTATGGGAAGGGATTCACACATCCTAGTTTTGAGCAGGAGCGGAGCAGGTCAGCCAAGGGCATTTGGTAGCGTGTGAGAACAATGAAATATTTAGCTTACCCTTACTTTAAGTGACGCTTCGTTAGATCATTCTCCTCATCCCCCAAATACAACAATCAACTTGCCTTGGCTCAACACAAAG